AATGAGATTTTGGTAAAAGTGTAAAGATTTGAGTAAGATTTTAGTAAAAAAAGCCGTAAAGGTGCTAATGAAACATAAAAACGTCTCATATGCTTCAAATGACAAATTTTATTGTAATATTAAAAATTAGATTGATATTGTAGTAAGATTATCATTGCCAATAATTTTGGATTTCTATTTTACATTACAAGTATAATTTTATGATTCCTTGATCCAATTTAGGAATCCCTCTTAACTGTCGTGTATGATTCCAATTTTAACAACCATAGTAATAAATACTATCTGTTGGCTTTTTGGCTTTCGAAGGTTACTATTGTAATTATGAGCGTGCCAGCAAGGATCAATCAGTCCTTACAGAAAATTAATTGCCAGACGATTGTGTTTTAGTTCTTTCAGCCTCAATGAAGATGACTTTTACTGGTGGCTTGATTTAGGAGAATTAAGCAAATAACAACTAAATAAAGAACAATTAAAGCATTTCATTAAAATGAAAAACTTACAATGATCCAAACTCAGCCTCGTAGAGGTTTACAGCAACAATCTACTTGAAACTACTCCTATAAATGAAGTGCAGTGCAAGAATTTTAAAGTACAGAAATGTAAAGGACAGGAAATGTAAAATTGGAAAGGAAATAAAGTAAAATAAGACTGGTTTTTTGGATCTGAGTCTGGGGGCTTTTTCTAGGGCCTTCTCTACTATTTATACTTCTCAAGGATGACCATCGAATTGCATTTCCAATCATCAAATTGCTTCTCCATGATCACTGATCATGTTGCCTTATAATTAGCTCTACTATGCCATCACTTCTAGTTAGGCTTCCCTCATAATTTTGAATTTGAATGTGAGTAACCGTTGAAGCCACATCACTTTGCATCTCTTTGCTGATCCAATGCTACTCAAATCTCGTAATAACCAATACTAGCTGCCACGTGTACGATCATGATCAAAGACTTGAATAGTCTTCTTGTATTACCCTTATTCTGTCACGTGTCGAATTATAATTGGCTTATACCAAATATGTAGCCAACATTACCCCCCGCACTAATATACCCAATACTTGGTGATATTAGTGGATCAAGGTCCTTTATCCACGTCTTAGAAAGTGCATGGGCTTTGCATTCTTCCAGAAATGCAACCATCATTCATCATTTGCATTAAACTCTCTTTCAATCTATTGAACACCCCCACCACCTTAGTATTCGAACAGACTGATACATTTTTATGGCCAAATCAATTTTCTCCTCTATTGATCGAGCACGCGAAGAGTCATCTGATGATGCTGTTCCTCCTCGAAAGAACCTTCATGCATTAATTAGCCACTTTTACCCACCTTTCTATATTCAAGTCATGGAAGCGTTTGCAAATTATCAACCCTTGGACTACGAACACATTGCCCTTAATCCTTTGATTCAGAAAGTTACATATATGGACATGGGAAGTTCTTTTTCTGATTCACCCTTGGACTACGAACAAACTGCCCTCAATCCTTTGATTCAGAAAGTTACAAATATGGACATGGGAAGTTCTTCTTCACAACCCTCTGCATGGGATAAGGCTGTGGTTCTTCTTCCTCTGGGGCTTCTGACTGGGCAAGCTGGTTGGAACCTGAGGCCTGTGATTTAAGGGAGCGAATTAACCATCACTTTGTCGAGTTCACTGACCCTTTAGAGTTTCCTTCCTATGCGCGAAGCTCGGTGGTTTATCCTTACGTGCCCATCGACCACCGACGCAGTTTAGAGGACAATCTGCTTGTAGCATGGTACACATCCTCCATGCCTACAAAGATAGTACACGCTACTCGATGCCAAGAAGAGACACAAGGGTACAACCCATCGTTCTTAGCCCAGAAGGCAAAGCTTTGCTCTTCTGACTGGCTCAATTATATTAATGCCCTTGTTCCTTCTGCCTTTGCTCCTTCTCCCGAAATAGAAGCTTCCATACCTCCTCCTCCGTTAAATCCTTGCTGGACAGAGAGACTGATGCTTGCCCTCTCTGCGGATAAGGTCTTTCCTCCTTACAAGCCTCCACCTTCCCCAACTCCAGTTGAGCAGAAGCAAGCCCAACTTCTGCTTGCGGCCTTCTCTCACTTGCCTTTCAATGTTCTTGAGGACGATGTTCCTCTCCAAAACCTTCGATGGGCTTGTGATATTCTGACTCGGGGTCACGTCCTTAACCCCCTTGCCCAAGCAGAGCTTCACATGTTTTTGGACCAACTCTCATTGCTTCTTCACTAGCATTGGACCTCTGTGGCCACCACTCAATCTTTGGACCAACTCTCATCCTTTCAAGTTCATGCCCAGTACGAAGCAGAGAACCTCATTGAAGAATTCGATAACTTCAAGAATAAAGACTCTGCGTACTAGGATGACTTGGATATGGACGAGTTGGAACAAGGATTGAGAGAAACAGCGTTCGAAATAAAAGCTGAAGAGCTCTTTTATGAAGTGAGAGCACATCAACTTCAGCAGCCAATCCTAGAAGAAATAGAAAATAGAATAAAGAAAGAACAGAAATTCAATGACCATAGTTGGACCAAATTTCATGATCTTGTTATTTATTCTATTGCTTACTTTTATGAACTTGAATTTGTACCCAAAGAGGGCCATTCGATGTAATTGTTTTTGCTTTAATACATTTAAGACTTTTCTCTTTGTTTGGCATTGTTTGATCTTGTCCCCGTTTGTCTTTAAAAGCAATTTTAGGGCTTCGATCTGAACAAACTTATCCTTCTAATCTAGACTCAATCGTTTTATATGAAACACTAAAAAGAACCAACATGAACTTTTCCAATTTATGGAATAAAGTTGACAATTTTTGCTGATTTGCATTTAGAATCAGTGTTTCGAATTTAACAATCTTACCCCTTAAAGCTTGTTTTAATCATAACCAATATATGGTCATGGTTAGTATGATTAATCAGTTTTAAATTGACCAATTTTTGCTTCGAACAACAGTCCATACTTTCAAAAATACGGAAACTCCTTTTGAGGGCTGCACTATTTTAGTCCAAAAAAACAATCTCTTTCTGTATATATATAAACCAACTATTGGTTTTGATGTTTTGAACACCAATTCCCATCCTTAAGGGGTCTCAAGTTTTGCTTCAAAGGACATTACTTTCATTAAGAAACCTAAAACAGGTCTTTAATCCCTTTGAAGTAAACAAATACTTGAGCATTCTTACATCTTTAGGTATGGAATGTGCTTCGAAGCCAGCTTCTCAGTTTTGATGCCGTCGTTATCTGACTTTTGGCGCCAAAATCTGGTTTCGAAGCCAAATATTTTACTTCGAAGCTGGCATCAACATCTGGGATGTGTTTTCCCTCCAAAAGTATCAATATTGAAGGAAACTTTTCGTATATGTACTTTTAGTACTTAACGAATTACACGATATATTTTCCAGACACAAAGGTTTTTAAAACCCTTTTATTTCGCATTTGGAACTCACCTATTTCCCCACTGCACAAACCCTTTATCTCTACCGACCTTCCACTTCTCTCTACTCCCTTTCCCAACTTCATCCTCTGAGAAAGCTTTCTATCAATGGCTTATTTTTCATTGAAAGTATCAGTCGTAGAGTGTGTGACCCCGTCTGTAACCCTGAAAAGGATCATTGAGGCAGAATGTGAAAAGTACAAGGCTGGTGAGAAAAGCGCAATTGACGGACGCATCTTCATCCCTCGACGTCATGAGCAACAGGACTATGTGCTTGGGCCCATCTTCAAGGAGATTCTTACTGAGCTTCTAGCTTTATACCCACGTCTAGAAGACCATTGTCTCCTTTACAAAGGTGGTCTTGACTGGGGAAACTGGAGGATGAACCGTCCCCACCGATGCTGGCCCATAGTGAGACCGGAGTGGCAAGAATGGTATGATCGGGTTGTCCCTGCCAGGACTCTAGACCTTCAAGAGCTTTGCCTTCTCGACGCCCTCCGACTATCCAGGTTCATTATCTCAGAGGACCCTTTCTTAATACCTGCTGATCTTTGCTTTTGGAACTCTGCCTTTAACTTCTTTCAATTCAGATGTGGGATGATGGCCCCTACTGTTCTTGATATTTTCCATCTATTAAGATTGTCCCCCATTGGTACCCCCATTGGACCAGATTATCTTGACCTATCAATCTTTTTTTCCCTCCCCTCCCTTAACTCATCCTATAGTGACTTTGTCAAGGCTGAGAATAGAAGGGAGGGCCCTGTAACTGATAGGGAATTCTTCTCTTTTATACCATACTGGCTTTGCAAATTCCTTTTCTGCACCTCTTCTTAACGAATCATGCCTGAATTTGCCCCTCTTGCCAAAGCCCTTGTCCTACAGAAAAAGGTGGCCTTAGCTCCATATGTTTTAGGTCATATATATAGAGCTTGTTCTCTTTTTTGTGAGAAACCCTTGGATGCCAATCAAGGGGGTCTATTTTGGATACTTCAGCTTTGGCGTTTTGCTTATTTTACTGAGCTACAATCTAAGTGCCTTAAATTTTTTGAGCCAAACCCTCCTACTCATGGCATGAGGCTAGCTAATGCTTCACTTTATCCCTCTACCTTTGCTTTTTTACTTCTCTTTCTTCCACCAACTTCTAGCTTCCCTTCATTCTTACAGTTTTCGTCTCTTCGAACCTATTACTATTGGCCCATCCTGGTTGAAAATTTTTCTAAGTGATAGGTTCTGTGCCTCACCTCCTCACAAGGATATATGGGCTTCTATTCTGATCCCTAGAGAGTTATTCATTGGGACTATGAACCCTAGAGCCTACAAATGCATTGCTGAGCCCTATTGTCCTGCTCAATTTGCTAGACAATTTGGCTTCTCACAAGGGATCCCAATACCTCTCTGCAGTAACACCAATTTAAGTCTTACCAGCAGGGATTTAAAGGCTCGAAGGTCCAGACTAGAAAAAGCAACTTCTAAGTTTATACAAGACTTGATTGAGTTTGAATATATCCCTTTCATTCCTCAAGGCAACCTACTGAAAAGGTACCAAAATTGGTGGGTGACCAATATGGAGGTATACTTGGCCATTCCTCCTCAAGACCTATTAATGGTGCTGGATGTACCCCAAGCCAAGCCCAAAAGAGCTGGAGTTGTCATTTCTTCCACTGCCTCCTATTTCAGTTCCCGTGCCTGCTGCCACACAGCCTACTCCTACTGCCTCAACTCCTCCTAGAGTCACCCGAGCTGCCTCGAAGAAAGGTATATACCCTTGTTTCTACTCTTTTTTCCTTCTCTATAATGCTTTTAGCCTTATCTTTAGTTCTTCTTTTGTGAAGGTGGTGTGGGTGCCTCACAGGGAGATTCTCCTCAGAAGACCCAAGCTTTAAATCTTCTCAGAAGCAAACAACAAAAGAAGAAAAGGAAACTTTTACCTGATCCTAAAGAGGAAGCACCTGAAGTTCAATCAGCAGAAGAAGAAGAAGAAGAAGATCAAGAGCAAGAGACACCCTTACAAAGAAGAAAGAGGGTGATTGTCACTTCTTCTGATTTCGTTGAAGATCCTACTCATGAGACAACTGCCAGAGTAGTAGAAGAGGAACTTACCTCTGAGGGATCTGAATCCCAGATTGAAGAGAGAGAAATTGAGAAGGAGCAGGCAATACCAATTCAGAGAAAAAAGAGAAGGAAGATGACTGTCTCTCCTTCTAATTTGGTCGAAGACCTTATTCGTGAGGCAGCTGCCAAGGCAGTAGAGCAAGAACATTCTAAGGCCATAATTGTTTTTCAGAGAGCTGAAAAAAGGCGGTAGCAACAACTGTTAAGAGATAAAGCTTCTGATGCTGCTGCAATCCAAAGAGACACTACAAGGAGGCAGCATATTGCTGAATACTATTCCCTTCACTGCTCTCCCATTGTTGCTACCACTTCTGAAATAAGTAACTTCTTTCATGTCTCTAATCTTTTCCCTTATCAAATTCTTGGTATTGAGACTTGACATTACTTTTACTTCTTCTTTTGCAGCAACAACTACTGAGCTTGTTCTTCCAATAAGGACTCCATCAGTTTCAGTCGAAGTGGAACAACCTCAAGATGTGGAGACCATTCAAATAATTCTTTCACTTCTAGGCCCTATATTTTCTATACCCTTCCTAAGGCCAAGTATTCCTGCTTCTTTTCCTTCTGGCTTAACTCCATATCTCCCTTATTTGTCTTTTGATTTTTCTCAATTTAGTTCTCTTTCGAATCTCACTTTTCCTTCATCTCCTAAGGAAACTCCAATTACTACTCCCTCCATGATGGTAGCTGATTCTTCTATAGAGGGTACTAGTAGCTCTCCATCTCATGCTTTATCACCTCTGCCTAGTTCCAGCCCCTTTTCCCTTGACTTATTGGTAACTAGAACTATGGAGACTGCAGAAGATGCTCCACCCATTTCTCCTATTCCTATGCAGTCCTTCGTGCCTTCCACCAAAGCTCTTTCTGCACCTTTCATGTCCACGGACGAGGTAGACATCTTCGATGCAAGACTGGCTAGTCTCTTCGACATGCCTTCCACCTCTCCAATGGCTAGTGATGAGACTGAACCATTAGTCTTGGCTGATTCCTTACTAGAAATTTTTGAGAGCTCTTCCTCCAGTAGTAAGCCTTCTTCAACTCTGATGGTCTTGGACAGCTGTCTGGAGCTATTGACATCTTTTTCGAGGATTCCTTTCGAGGCCTTAGAAAGACCTATAATAAGAAATGGCTTCCTTCAGTGTTGCAAGATTGTTGAGCAATCCGGCATGACTGTCTCAAGTCATTTATCTCAAGTGGCAGCCACCATCGACTTTTACATCAACATTTGCCACGCTACCAAGGCTGCGGAGGAGAAATTAGCGAGAGACCAGAACTTTGTTTCCAAAGTACATACTGAAGTATCAGAGCTGAAGGAACAACATTCCTCTGTCTCCCAATTTCGAACTCAACTACTGGAGAAGAAAGCTCAACTTGAGGAGGAGCTATCTGCAGTTAATCAGGCCTTAGTCCGAACTGACACCAAGTTGCAGATTACCAATCAAGGACTGGCTGACCGAAAGCAGGAAATGACCACAACCATCCAGTTGTTCTCATCATTTAAAAATAGAACATCTATTGTAAAAGAACAACTGAGACATTGTAATGACTTTTGGGCCAATTTATGGCAGAATGTATTCAACTCTTTATGAAAAGCAAATTCTTATTTATCATTTGAATATTCTCATGTTCTTTTACTCAACATTTATTTTATTCCTTGTGTTTCCCATATAGTTGAAAAATAAGGCTTCAAATATCTGCCATTAATCTTTTTGGAATGTACATATCCATTCAAATTTCTCAAATGGTATGTCCCAAAAGGCAGGACTCTATGAACTTGATATGGTCCTTCCCAGTTAGGTGACCATTTGCCAAACTTATGGCTTTTAATCCCTATTGGGAGTATTGTCTTCCATACCAAATCACCTTCATCAAAGCCAATGTGTTTGACTTTTTTATTATAGTTTCTGGCTGCTTTCTTCTTTTGGAAAAGAATGCAATTTAATGCCAGAATTCTAGCTTCATCTATGTTTTCTAACTCCAAGCACATACTCTGATGGTATTGCTCAAGATCTAACTGGTCTTGGCATCTTACCCTCAAGGACTTAACATTAATTTCCATAGGTAATACTGCATCATGCCCATATACTAAGGCATAAAGAGTGACTCCTATGCTTGACCTTGGGGAAGTTCTATAAGCCCACAATACATCCAGCAATAAGTTATGCCAATCCCTAGGATTATCTTCCATAACCTTTTGAATTCCTTTTTTCAAGGACTTATTGGATGATTCAGCTTGACCATTGGCTTGTGCATAATAGGGGGTGGAATTAACAAGACTAATTCCAAACTCTGCCACAAAAGACTTTACCATTTTCCCATCAAATACAGTCCCATTATCAACAGTTATAGTCTGCGGGATACCAAATCTATAGATTAAATCCTTAATGAATCCAATGACCTCAGTCTGGTCTACAACCTTGTACGACTTAGCTTTGACCCACTTAGTGAAGTAATCAGTGGCCACTAAAATGAAACAATGATGCTTCGAAGAGCGTGGGTGTATTTTCTCAATCATATCCATGGCCCATCCTCTAAATGGCCAAGGCTTCACTACTGCATGCAGGTCAGTTATGGGCACATGCCTTATTGTGCCATGCTTTTGACATGCCTGGCAACCTCTTGCATATTCTATGCAGTCTTTAAGGATAGTTGGCCAATAGTAGGAATGCCTTCGAAGCAACCATCTCATCTTCACACCAGGCTGATGAGCACCACAGATGCCTTCATGAACCTCAGCCATAGTTGTCAATCCTTCTTTTGGGCCTAAACATTCCAGCAATAAACCATCCCCCCCTCTTTTGTAGAGAGCATTACCATACATCATGTATTGCATAGATTGCAATTTAATTTTTCTGCTGGCCTTTGAAGATGGACCAGCCAGATACTGCATTATTGGATGCCTCCAATCTGGTTCTTATAAGTCATTATGATTGACTTCCAGGACCGCATTCATTTTATTTAAGAGTGGTATTAATTTCTGATATGTTGTTTGGCTTATGTCCCTTTGAGCATTATCCTTTCTCTTGAAATTCGAAGCTTTTTGAGCCACATCATTAGCTCTATTATTCAAGAATCTTGGGACATGAGTTACATTTGCTATTTGAAATTGAGAAAGCAGATGTAATGCAACAACATAGTATGGCAACATGCTTATACTTTGACATTTGAAAATCCCTTTTACTTGGTTAACCACCAATTGAGAATCTCCAAATATGTCAACTGCATGAACTTGTAATCCAATAAGAATTTCCAGTCCCATTATTAAGGCTTCATATTTAGCTTGATTATTGGAACAAGTAATTTCATCCACTCTGAAACCATGCATGGTTTCTATTCCTTGTGGTGACTTAATTACCACACCAATTCCAATTAGACCATTGGCTTTTGATCCATCGAACCACATTTGCCATGGTTCAACACTAGCCATACCGAGTTCCATTATCTCTTGGCTTTCTGTTTGAGATGGATGGTCTGCCAAAAAATTAGCTAAAACTTGTTCTTTTACTGCCTTTTGGGGAACATATTCTAAATGAAATTCTGATAAGGCTAGTATCCATTTGCCAATTCTTCCCCTCAATATAGGTCTAGATAATATATACTTAACCAAATCTGTGGTTGCAATTACCAAGACAGTTGTAGGCAAAAGATAGTATCTTAATTTCATTGCAACAAAATACAATGCAAGGCACAGCTTTTCAACAGCTGAGTATTTACATTCACAAGAATTTAGAAACCTACTAAGGTAATAAACAGCTTGCTCCTTGCCTTCTTCATTGTCTTGTGCTAAGAAAGCTTCCAATGAATCTTTTGCTACAGCTATGTACAATTTCAAAGGCTTATCACCCTTTGGTGGCATTAGCACTGGAGGGTTGGCCAAGTAGGCTTTGATTTCTTCGAAAGCAATTTGATGTTCTGCTGTCCACACAAATTCCTCTTCATCTTTTAGCCTTAACAAGGAAGAAAATACTTTAGTTTTCCCTGCAGTATTAGAAATGAATCTTCAAAGAAAATTAACCTGTCCAAGGAACTTTTGTAATTCTTTCTTACTTAATGGAGGTCTAGCTTCAATGATGGCTTTGGCTTTATTCTGGTCAATTTGTATTCCTTTCTTGTGTACTACATAGCCCAAGAAGTTTCCAGATGATACGCCAAAAGCACACTTAAGAGGATTGAGTTTCAACTTGAACTTTCTCATTCTTTCAAAAGCTGCTTCTAAGTGAAATAGATGCTCCTCCATGGATTGAGATTTCACTACAATGTCATCAATATAACACTCTAAATACCCTCCAATGAGGTCATGAAAGATAGTGTTCATAGCCTTCTGATATGTAGCCCCAGCATTCTTCAGGCCAAATGACATTTTAACCCATTCGAAGGTGCCAATATTCCCAGGACGTCTTAATGTTGTCTTGTGAACATCCTCCTCTGTAATGCAGATTTGGTTATAACCAGAGTGCCCATCCATCATTGATAAAATTTGATGCCCTACTGAACTATCTACCAACAAATCTACTATAAGCATAGGATATTCATCTTTTGGAGTTGCTAGATTTAAGTTTCTGAAATCAATGCATACCCTCATTTTACCATTCTTCTTATCTACAGGCACAATATTGGATAGCCATTCAACATACCTGGCTTTCCTAATAAAACCTGCCTTGAGTAGTCTAAGAATTTCCTCTTTAACTTTCTGAATCACTTCTGGACTCATTCTTCTTGGTTTTTGCTTGTATGGCTTGAAATTAGGCCTCATAGGGAGCCTATGTTCTACTAATGACCTATCCAATCCTGGTAGTTCATTATAAGACCATGCAAAACAATCTTTATACTTCTTTAGAACAACCAACAACTGGTTCCTGTCAAGAGCATTCAACCAAGCACTTATATTGATGGGCTGTTGTATAGAACCTTCCCCTAAATTTACTTCTTCTAAGGGGTCTTGTATCTGAGAATTTACTGAAGCTCCTTCTTTGATTCCTTCTAGCTTCGAAGTAATTTCCTTGCTTTGTTCTTCTCACAGGTTCTTTGATTCAACATCTTTACCCTCCTCCTCATAGATGAAGTCTGTCCATAAGGCTTCTTCTTCCTGTATCTCCTGGACTTTTGTTTCAACGTCCAATGCACAGTATTTATCAAGGGCCAAAACTCTAGCCTGTTGTTGCTCCTGTTTGCAGCCAATTATCATAGCTTCTTTCTGTTGCTCTTACACTTTCTGGACTATTGATTTTACATCCAATATTGAAAACTTAATTAGAGTCAAAGACTTGGCTTCTTGGGCTTCATTTCTTTGCCTACAACCAGGCATCATTGTCATCTTTAACGACAACCTTTTCATCAGCACTCTCCTGAACTAAGTGCTTAAGGTGTGTCACTTCCTCATCAGCCGTCACTTCGGCTAAGCCATCAGGTTTTCTCAGTATACTGAGTGGTGTCACTCCCTCAATATACAATTTGGCCTCTGCGAAGTCTGCACAAGCTATGAAGGGTTGAGGATCTGCATCAATTTCCTCTGTCTCTCCATTGCCCAAGGCCATCATTATTTTCTGATGCAAAGAGGAAGGCACACACTTGTTAGTGTGAATGCAATCTCTACCAAGTAAAGCATTGTACTTAGCATTGTTGTCGATAACGAAGAATGCCGTCATGCAGTCCTTGGTTCCCACACTCAAGTTGATGGGCAGAATTCCTTGAGCCATCTGTTTGTCTCCAGCGAAGCCAGCAATGGTTGTACTAGTTGGGGTTAACCTGGGGCTCATTTTCCCTAGTTTCTTTAAGGAAGATTTCGGTAGTAAGTTCACTGTTGCCCCATTATCCACCAAAACTCGGTTCAATTGTATCCCATCGAAGAAGGCCTTGATATACAAAGGCTTGACATGCTGTGTCATAAAGTTCGAGGGATACTCAAAAGGATATGAGAGGTTAATACTCACCTCTTCTTCACTTTCATATTCAGTTTCCATTGGGGTAGCCATTCCGGATTCATCTTGCACCATACTCACTTGTGAGTCTTCACTAAAGACTGGAATTGGGTTAATTTCTTGACCCTCTTGGTTCTCATCTCCATCTTGGAATTCATGCGGTAGTATGTGTACCATATTTACTGATACTGGAGGAAACGAGCTAAATTGGATAGCTGGTTGTGCTTGTTTCTCCTCTTGGCCACCTTGTTCAGTTAGTTCAGAAGCATCTTCCATGCTGCATTTTGGCACTTCATTACTAACAAACTCCTTCGAATGGTCTTTTTTGACTGGCTTTTCAACTAAAAACGTCTGTTCAGCCATGAAGGCTTCGAACATTTCTTCCTCAACCATTTCTTTCTTTTGGCCTAGGCCAACTTCTTCTTCTGTCTCGCTATCACTCTCCATCAAAGCCTTTTCTAATCCTGCTAGACTAGACTTCTCTCTGGCTTTTAGTTCAGAGTGAACTTTGGGCAATTGTTCTCTGCTACAACCCATTTTATCTTGTAGAGTTGGTTTTGGAGTATGGTCTGACTTTGGATTCTTCTTTCCTTCTGTCTGGACCAATAAAGAGCTTTCTCCACTTTCTTTCAGGTCTTTCTGGTACTGAGTGTACCTACGCTGGATCTTCCTCCTTTGTGATCTAGAAATTACAGGGACCATATCTGGTTCTTTTGTTTTTGGGTGTTTAAGTAGTACCCAATTGTTTGGAGCCACCAAAGGGGGTTTGACCATCCTACCTTGGTTTCCAACAACATCCTTTTGGGTAGACACTTCCCTAGGTTTGTTCTGCATCATAAACCAATCTTGAACTCTAGGTACCCACGAACTTACTGACTCAGCTGTTGAACTGTTTCTTTCCTCCTTCGAAGCCATCTTTGAAGCTGGCTGTGAAGGCCACTGCTTGGCCCTAACTTCATGTTTTGGGCCTAACTCAGGCCTTTGATGAAGGTAGCCACTTTCTGTCCTGCGTGAGGCTAGTCCAGGGGGCCAATCTCTGGCTTTGATCCCATAAACTGAACCCTTCTCCAGTCTCCTTTCAGGATGACTACTCTCCATTTTGTAATAATTAGGTGGCCTGGACTCATATAAAGGCCTCTTGCCTTTAGAATGCATTCTATCGGCTATTGGCTCAACCATTAATGGCTGCTGCCTAACACTAGTTAGGTATGGCCTTTTGTTATAAGCATTGGTTGGTTTAGGACGCCTCTACACATCCTTGTAATACTGTTTCCCATCAATTGGAAGCCCTTTCAACCACTTGTAGCTCAGTCTGCACTTGGGACACATCCGTTGCATTACAACTACCTCTAAAGAATCGTCATCCAATGCTTCTTCATCAGAGTCTTCCCTCTGGTGTGAGAAACCTTGTCCAATAGCTGGTAGATTTCTAGTGTTTTTCTTGATAGTTGTCTGGTTGGCAACATCCATCTGCACATTGACTTCTTCCAATTCTTTCAAGGACAAGTTTTGGAAGTCTGGCATAATGACATTGGCTGCCACCTCTCCAATTTCTGGAAATGGATTACTGTCGATCCCCATGGCTTTATCTGCTTTAGCCGGGAATTTTAAACTTCCTTTCAGAATTTGTTCTTGGATCCTGTCTCGAAAAACAACACAGTTTTTAGTCGAGTGAGACCAAGAATTATGCCATTTACAATACACTTTTCCTTTAAGTTCATTTGGAGATGAAATTTTGACTCCTTTTGATAATTTAAGGAAGTTGGCCGCAAGCAAATGATGAAAAATGTCATCTACCTTAGTTAAATCGAAAGAGTATTTTCTATAAAGATCTTTCTTTTTAAACTGCTGGTCAATTGTTGTATCCTTATGAATTAATGCCTCACAGATCACAGGTTCTTTCCCCACAATCTTTGCTGCATCAATCTCATAATTAGGATCTCTATAATATGTCTTGTATGATGCATTATTTCGATCTTGTTCTTCCTCTAGTAATGCTTCATACCTAGACACCTTATAAGTTAGTTCCACTAAGTCTCTGAACTCAGTCAAGTCAAACTTCTTTCGAAGCCTAAACTCTAAGCCATTTTGAGCTAATCTCACGAATTCTAGCTCTGGTAGGATGACCCTACATTTGTTTCGTGCTCTTTTAAATCTGGCAATAAACTGAATAGCCTTCTCATCAGGCCTTTGACTCAATCTTGCCAAGTCTGCCATGGAAACCTCTGGCTCCGATTGGAAGAATTGGGCATGAAATGCCTCTTCCATTTGTTGCCAAGTTTGGATAGAGCCAGGTGTAAGGTTAATATACCATACAAATGCTCTCCCAGTTAGAGAATTTGGGAATAATCTTAACTTCATATAGTCATTATTAGTGAATTCACCGCATTGAGCAGCAAACCTAGCAATATGCTCCACTATTGACTGGTTTCCATTCCCACAAAAAAGGGCAAAATCTGGTATCCTGAAACCTCTTGGGTATTCATGTACCCTATCTACCCATTCTAGGTACGGTTTCCTGTACATAGGAGTTTGGACCCCCCGAGCCATCGGTCCACATATCTCTCTAACAATATCAGCAATTTGGTACCTAGGGACCATATTTTGTGCCTGCTGAATCGCTACTGGAAGGACAAACATAGGATTTGGTGGACAACCTTGTGCCTGTGGTCCTCTTGGTCCATATGGTGGTATATTTGGGATTGGTTGTCCCTGTGTTACAGGTTGCTGCTGGGGGTGTGGGTAACCCCTTTGAGCCTGTCCGGCGAAAGGACCTACGAAAAGTGCTGGAAAAGGTGTTGTGTCTCTTCCATTTGTAGGAAAACCCTCCAACCCCCTGGGTATAAATTTGAATAAGGGATTAGTGAACCCTCTCGTGCTGGGTATGGCTTTAAACATGGGATTTGGAGCCATTCTTATGCCATTTTGTTATACTAGGCCAGATCCACCAATTTGCATGGCTTCACTGTTAAGTACTGAGGTATTTTGACTTGCTATAGGCTTCGAAATAGGTTCGTACCAAGACTGAGGTGATGGTCTTTCATAGTTTTAATTACTAGTTTGACCATTAGAATGTCCATTAATTTGCATAGGCTGTTTATCTCTAGCCAATCTTTGCTGAGAGACATTTGAAACTTCCACCATGTGTCTTGCGTTTGTTAGTTGGTGGTTATTTATTCAATCCAAAAAGGATGTTGCCCACATTTCCATCGTGTTCATTAACTGCTGTCTCATGGTATCTACTAGGCCACCACATGGATTTATTGGCTGAGTAGATGGAACAGTGGATGGTCCAATTCCTTGGTCTCGTCCAATATTATGAACATGTGGTACTTGTTCCGAAGTGCTGGTCTGTTCGACCATAGGTTCTGATAGAATTGGTGTTTCCACAGGATGTGTTATCACATTATCCTCTGGATTAGGTATTTCTACCTCTCCTTCTACGCCTTCTTCCAGGCGTTCATTTTCTCCTTGTCTCCTACGTCTAGCCATTTCAATTTGTCCCACCGGGCGTGCCAAAAATATATGTTGGCTTTTTGGCTTTCGAAGGTTACTTTTGTAATTATGAGCGTGCTAGTAAGGATCAATCAGTCCTTACAAAAAATTAATTGTCAACCAATTATCAGACGATTGTGTTTTAGTTCTTTCAGCCTCAATGAAGAGAATTTTTACTGGTGGCTTAATTTAGTAGAATTATGCAAATAACAATTAAATGAAGAACAATTGAAGTATTTCATTAAAATGAAAAACTTACAATGATCCAAATTCAGCCTCGTAGAAGTTTACAGTAACAATCTACTTGAAACTACTCCTATAAACGAAGTGCTGTGCAGGAATTTTAAAGTACAGAAATGTAAAGGACAGGAAATGTAAAACTGGGAAGGAAATAAAGTAGAATAAGACTGGTTTTTTTTATCTGAGTCGGGGGGCTTTTTTCTGGGGCCTTCTCTACTATTTATACTTCTCAAGGATGACCATCGAACTGCATTTCCAATCGTCGAACAGCTCCTCCATGATCGCTGATCGTATTGCCTTATAATTAGCTCTACTATGCCATCACTTGTAATTAGGCTTCCCTCCTAATTTTGAATTTGAATGTGAGTAACCGTTGAAGCCACATCACTTTGCATCTCTTTGCTGATCCAATACTACTCAGATCTCGTAATAACCAATACTAATTGCCACGTGTACGATCATGATCAGAGACTTGAATAATCTTCTTATATTACCCTTATTCTGTCACGTGTCGAATTGTAATTGGCTTATACAAAATATGTAGCCAACACTATCTCATTTTTTTTAATCATATTCGTTAATATAAATAAAAAAAAATAGATAGTCTAATTTTCAATTCATTCTCATCTTTCAGTTATTTATTTTTAAATAAATAAGATAAAACCATAAGACAACAATCATTGGATGAATTTAATATTTAATAATTTTTATAATTGATCTACTCAAATAAATTTGAAAAGTAAAAGAAATAAATTTGCATAAGAGAATTAAGAGACTGGATTTGGGTATCCTTCTAGAATGAAAAAGAGAGTATATAAAAGGGAAATATTTTTTAAACCCTTTGATTAAATAACATCTCAGAATGGAGAGTATCAAACTTCTGATTGGAGAGTATGGGGCGCAGCTTCCAGGATGAGGGCACTCTCGTCCGCACGTTTTCCGTTTTCACGCGTACTTTCTAATAAATAATAGATACATATTCCGTACAAATTGAATTGCCATAAACGTGCTTCATTGACGAGTACCAGTCAAATATATAGTATATTACTATATTTGAACTCATGCTCCTTTTATTATATTAAAAAAGCAGAAATGACGATAAATGGAACGGGGGAATTACCGAACACGTATTGTCTAACTCTAGCCCAATATTTCAAAGGGGGATGTTTAAAAAGTTGGGTTGGATTCGAGACCTTTCTTTTTCTTTTGCTTTTTTAATTAATAAAGATAAATTATGTTAAAATAATTAATCAGATAAAATATTATATTTTATTTATAAGGGTAAACCACAAATACATTCCTTGAAATTTATTTAAAATACAAATTGTCCTATATAATTTAAAAAATTATAAATATCCCTAGTTTAAAAAATTTATTTAACAGAATTAACTAAAAAAAAGAAATTCATAATTATTCTCCTATACAATAATAAAATTACTTAAATTAGTAATTGAAATATATTTTTAAAATTATTAAAAATTATTAATTAATTTGATAATTTATTAATAAAATAGACGATCTATTGTGAAATTAAAAACTTTAATAAGTAGAATGTAGTTTTTAAAATTATAAAAAATAAATCATATTTTAATTACATATCAAAAAAGTGTATTAATAATTTCGATTTACTCAATTAGTATGGTACGAAAGTTCTTCTCCGTTGCCTTCACTTTCAGCGGAGCAGGGGTCATTGATGCGCTAAAAAGTACAGTAGTGATTGTAGTATCTTTATTTAAGGCGTATTTTGATTTTATTTTTATAATTCAAATAGTTAATTTTGTAAAGTTTATTGAGTATTTTATATTTATCAAAAATTATATTAATCGGATATTAAAAACTATATAATTGATAACAAAAAAATAAATAATAAATTTTTCTTTTGAGAAATATTATAAACAATATAATTCGATCATATATTTATTGATATCCGATTAATATAATTTTTTGTAAACATAAAATATTCAACAAATCTTACAAAAATAAATAGTTTAAATTATTAAAATAAATTCATAATATACCTTAAATAGAGATACTAAAAGCACAGTGATCCCATTTCGCACTTCAGCAGCTTTAAATGGCACTTTCCCATGTGGTTTGACTTTGACCATAAGGTGGACTCATTTGATTTTTTATTTTTTTCCTGCTGTGTGTACCGTATATACTCTTAAAATATGATAATTAAAGAGTGTGTGAATCATAGAATTTCTTCTTCGTTTTTTTCGGACGATGATTATGCGGGTTTAGGAAGGGTAAAAAAAGTTGAGAAATTTACAATTCAGTGGCTGATTTAGAAAATAATTGCACATATATGGAAAAGTTTATAATTTTAATTATTAATTTTTATAAAACTTACGACTGATCTATTATTATTTTTAAACAATTACTCTGAAATTTAATTTTCACAAAAAATAGAAAAAAAAAGAATTGTCCCTTATAATTTTAAAAATTATATAAATATTCATTTGTTCAAATTTTTTATTTAATAGAATTAGAAAAATAAAATAAAATTTTAATTGTTCTTCTACATAATAATAAAATTACCTGAATTATTAATTAAAATATAATTTTGACATTATTAAAAATTATTAACTAACTTAGTGATTTATTAATAAAAATAGGTCATTTGTTATGCGATTTGAAATTTGAAGGGGCATAATGTAATTTCAATAACCACATAAAACAATTCGTATTTTAAGTAAATTTTAGGAGATATATTTGTAATTTAATCAATAAATTAATATGTTTGGAAATTATTTTTTGAATTTTTTTATAAATATATAAGAAAAATTTAAATGCAATGTGAATGGAAAGTAATCTTTGATTTTATAGAAAGAATGAGAAAGAATCTTTAATTTTTTTATTTTTTTTTGTATGAGTTAATTTTTTTTTAACTTTAACAACAATCTTTTAATTTTTTTTATTATTAAAATAACTATTTTGTATGAGTTAATTTTTTTTAACTTTAACAACAATCTTTTAATTTTTTTTATTATTAAAATAACTACTTATCAAATTGGAGTTTAGCCCATGTTGTAAAAAAAAAAATTTGTTTAATCGGAAGGAAACCCTTTATTACAAAAAAAAAAAAAGAAAAAAAAAATCATCGGAGACAAAAGCACGAGGGTTTTTATAAAAAAAATATATAAAAAAAGTATTTTGGCCCCCTATGTGTTTAAAATTAGGATAAAATTCACTTTAATCTTTATGATTTAAGATCGGAATATTCTACTGTCTTATGATTTAATGATGGTAAGATTTTGCTTATGATTTTGAATTAAATTGTAAATCTTCTCTTTGTTACAAAAAATATATTAAGTGTAATGGTGACATAATAAAAATTCACAAATATGTTAAGTGAAAAACTCTCATCTCTTATTAACCTAACAATATGATCTCTATGTAAACAAAAAATGCACATTAAATAGTAATACTATCACGTAATATCACCGTTATATTTAATATTTTATTCTTTCATTACCCAACAAGTCTTCTATTTTTATCATTTTCTCTCTTTTATTATACGCATAATTTCTAACTTCACCAACCCTTAAACAAGTTTAATAATAGAATAATGTTTCGTAGCTCAAAACATGCTGACCTGAATGGCTCAAATACCCAAAACGACATCATTTTGGACATTTTTTTTTTCTTTTCTTCCCCTTTGTTTTCTCTTTGAAACAGACAGAAGAGGACAAAAGAAGGAGAGGAGGAAGAGAAAAAAAGAGAAGGAGAAGAAAGTGCCGCCGACGAGACGAAGGCCTCGGCCACTGACAAAGCCATGTTGAAGAAACTTGAAACGATTAGAAAGAAACACAAGTATTGTGCAAAAAAACTGGGTTCATCCGCAATGAATCTTTTTTCATTGTTTTAATCCGTCACGGACCATTTCTTCTAAAAATACCATGAATTTCTTTGTGTCTTAAAGCCAACAATTTCTTCTTTTTTCATCATCTATGGAGTCCCTACAACTTGAACCAAATAAATCCTTACAGGAGACCCAAACCACCCAAAATGTTCCCAACAGATCTCCGATTGACCCAAAATGTTCCATTGTTGCTTCTTTTTTTTTTTTTTTTTTTTTGTG